GGCAGGCGGGGAACCTTGGCTTCCTCCATCACTGGAGCAAGCAAGCCTCCTGTTTGCTTCAGCTGCCTGGCTGCCGGCCGCCATCTTGGTTGGCAGTTAATTTGCATATCACCCTGATTAGCCAATGGGAAGTGTGTTGGAGGTATGGTTAATTACCATGTTTGTCTATTATTAGATAGGATTATATTACTTACATATTAAAACTATTATCAGATATCAATATATGGTTCTACCAGTGGTCCCTAAACTACTAAATTTCTCTCAGGAAATACTTAAACATAGAAAGATATGATACTTTTATATTAAAATTTTTTTTAAATTACTATTTTGGTACTCTGCATTCAGATAAGTATTTATAATCACCCATTTAGGCCTTAATAATGTAAAATTTTAGAATCAGAAAAGCCCTTAACAGGTAACTGTCCTAATTCCTGGAACCTGTAAATGTTATATAGCAAAAGGGCTTTGCAGACATCATCAAGTGAAGGATCTTGAGATGGAGAGATTATTTTAGATTGTACAATAGGCCTTAAGCCACAAGTATCTTTAAAAGAGGGAAATTGAGGACAATTTTATTACAGAAGAGAAGGCAATGTGACGGCAGAAGTCGAGATACAAGTAATGTGACCAGAAGCCAAGGAATGTTGGCAGAAGCTGGAAAAGGCAAGGAATGAATTATCCCTTGGGGCCTCTTAAAGAAACTAGCCCTGTTGATACCTTGATTTTAGCCCTATAAGACTCATTTGGGGAAATGAGCTGGGGACGTCAGAGGAATGGCAGCATGAGAGATCCCCATGGCCTCTCCCTCAGAAATTAGAACAAGTTAACTAATTATAACTCAATAAAGAATTCCCTGCTAAATACAAAGGTTTGCCTGAGAGACCTGTGTATTGAAACATTTAAAGGTGGGTAACCAGGAATAAATGGGGAGATGAGAAGGGAGGAAATTGCAGATGACCCACAGATGCAGCCCTGCAGCCAGGAGCTCATGGCTTGGCCTAAGAGAAGGGAGGAAGCCAGCAGATGCCTGACAGAGCATGGAGTTCTGCCATGCAGCTCTCCACTGTGGAGCTGGGCAGTGGTGTTTCAGACAAATAAATGGAACCACAGAGCCTTGCTGCTTGGACTCCCAAAACTCACCCTTAGAGGTGGGTTAAGGATCATATTACCTGTAAACCAAGAGCCATTGCAGTAGAACCACTGCTTCCCTCTGTGACAGATCCCCAGGTGGGGTGCTTGGGGCAGGACCCCATAGAGGTCAGGAGTTGCCATTATGATGAGGTCAAAACAAACCCCACCCTCAAGCAGTGTCGCTGCATTGTCTTATGGAAGTTGTGGAGATCAAGACTGGGAGATCACAGAGGTAAAAAAAAAATCTTGTGATTCAGTGCCATCTATTGGAAAATAGTAATAAAGACTTCTTCAGAGGAAACTGCTATTGGCCATATATATAGACAGAGATAACTGTGTAGGCAAAGGAGAAAAGCAAATACCATGAATAACCATGGTAATAAGGATGATCAGAAAGAAAATGAAAAATCCCCAGAAATCAAGGTGGAAAACATGGAAATACATGATATAAATGACAGAGATTTCAAGTTTGCAGTTCTGAAAATACTCAAGATGCGAGAAAATATAGACAGGCAATTCAATGCACTCAGAAAACAAATCAATTAAAAAAAGAGGTTCTTTTCCAAAACGATTGAAACTTTACAGAAGAACCGATCAGAAATCCTGGAAATGAAGTATGCAATTAAGGAGATTAAAAGTAAACTGAACATTAAAAAACAGAGCCAACCAGATGGAGGAAAGAATGAGTGATATTGAAGATAGGAATCTAGAAATGATACAGAGGGAAGAAAGAGAGACCTGAACATAAAGAATAATGAAAGAGCTCTATGAGACCTATCTGACTCCATTGGAAAAAGCAATATTAGAATAATAGGCATTCTGGAGGAGGAAGAGAGGGAACAGGGAACAGAGAATATATTCAAACAAATAGTGATGACAACTTCCCAAACCTATAGAAAGAACTAGATCCTCAAATCCAAGAAGCAAACAGAACACCTAGTTACAAAAAAAGAGGTTCTTTTCCAAAACGATTGAAACTTTACAGAAGAACCGATCAGAAATCCTGGAAATGAAGTATGCAATTAAGGAGATTAAAAGTAAACTGAACATTAAAAAACAGAGCCAACCAGATGGAGGTAAGAATTAGTGATATTGAAGATAGGAATCTAGAAATGATACAGAGGGAAGAGAGAGAGACCTGAACATAAAGAATAATGAAAGAGCTCTATGAGACCTATCTGACTCCATTGGAAAAAGCAATATTAGAATAATAGGCATTCTGGAGGAGGAAGAGAGGGAACAGGGAACAGAGAATATATTCAAACAAATAGTGATGACAACTTCCCAAACCTATAGAAAGAACTAGATCCTCAAATCCAAGAAGCAAACAGAACACCTAGTTACCTCAATCCAAAGAGGCATTCTTCAAGGCAGTTGGTATTAAAACTGTCAAAAATTAATGACAAAGAAAAAATGATCAAAGCAGTCAAAGAAAAGAAGGAAGTGAAATACAAAGGAAAACCCATCACAATTTCATCCGACTTCTTAGTAGAAACTCCAAAAGCCAGACAAGAGTGGAACCAAATATTCAAACATCTGAAAGAGAGAAATTACAAGCCACAAATAATATATCTAGTAAATGATCCTTTAAATCTGAAGGAGAAATAAAGACATTTCCAGACATACAGAAGCTGAGGGATTTTATCACTAGAAATCTCCATTGCAGGAAATACTCAAGGGAATTATTCTGAAACATAACATAAGGTCACAACACTAAGAGTAAGATCACCAAAGTGTCCTGCGATAGAGGACTGGATAAAGAAGATGTGGAGCATATACACAGTGAAATACTACTCAGCCATAAGAAAGGATAAAATACTGCCATTTGCAACAACATAGATGTACCTTGAGAATATTATGCTAAGTGAAATAAGTCAGTCAGAAAAAGTTAAAAACCATATGATTTTACTCATATGTGGGATATAAAACTAACACTCATGAAAACAAACAGCTGTTTGGGGGCTGTGGAGGTAAGTGGGTAAGGGAAGAATGGGGTGCTAAAATAGGGTGACAGGAGAAGATTTGACTTTAAGAAATGGGCACATGGTGCAATATAAAGATCTTGTAACATAGAGCACTTGAAACCTCTATGATCATGTTGACCAATGTCATTCCAATAAATTTACTTAAAGAAAAAAACTCAGGGTGGGGAGAGATTAACCAGGGAACTAATATGCATACTAGAGGCCCAGTGCATGAGTTCATGCACGGGTGGGGTCCATTGGCCTGGTCAGCGATCGGGCCTATGGGGGGGGGGCTGCTGTTTCGGGGGAGGAACCATGGGAGGTTGGCTGGCTGGCTGAGGGGAGGAACTTGCAGGAGGTTGACCGGCCGCCCCCCGTCCTCCCCATGGAGACAATCAGGGGGGCTGGCAGGCCACAGGAGACTGACCAGCCTTGGGAGGTTGGTTGTGGGAGTGCACT